TTTCAGAAAAGCTGAGAGAATTGGAAAATGAATGGCTGTATTGTGTCCACTTAGATTCAATGGTCCTTAACATTTTGCCACACATTTACCGCACACACACATACACACACACAAATACACACACACACACAAATACACACACATACATACACACATATACATACACACACACACAAATACACACACATACATACACACACCCATACACGCATACACACATACACATGCACACATGCACACACACACGCTTTTCTCCAGAACCATTTGGGAGCAAAGGCGGGCATCGAGGCCCTTCAGCCCCAAACACCTCAGCGCGTCTCCTGAGAACGTCCTGCGCTCTGTTTTCTCGATGGCTGTGCCCTTCCCGTGCCATTAAACAGGTGTGCTCAGCACACCCTCTGCGCACGGGCAGCGCCCTTTGTCGTTGACCACACGGGCACTTAGCCGCACCTCCCTCCAGGACGCGTCTTTAACTGCACCCCAAGACCTTCATTTGCCGCGTGCCCCTGATGGATGCACAGACACCCTTGTTCCCCCAGATGTCTCTAAATTCACCTTTGGGTTTCCCTCGTTCAGGGGCGATGCCACCGCCAAACGACGGGGAGAACGAGTGTGGCAGCGTGGACAGCAAGGAAGAGCCCCCCGGGGAGGGAGAGACGAGGCGGAACATGGAGCTGTTTGCTAAGGAAAGCTTCGAGGCCAAGGACGAGCTGTTCCCAGACATGCCCCGCGGAGAAGAGGGGCTGCCCCCCGAGGTCAGCAGGGAGACCGAAGAGCAGGAGCCGGAGGGGACCCTCCCAGCCGAGGCCCCGCCACCGCCACCCCTTGCGGCTGTCAGGGAAGGTAATGCCGGCGGGGACACACGCACAGGTGCGGGGGGGCACGGGGCGCCACCCCCAGGGAGCCCCACCTCTGCGTCACGAGTCTGTGAGCCCCAAGTCTGAGTGTCACTTCTTCCTGACTGCTGCTTCTAGAAGACAGAGGTCACAGGTCGTCTCCTTGTCTAGAACAGCGCCGCCCAATAGGAACACGAAAGGAGCCACTACTACATTTTCTAGTAGCCTCATTCAAAACGGTAAAAAGGAACAGGTAAAACTATTAACCATATATTTTATTTAACCCAATACATCTAAAATATAATCACTTCAACATGGAATCGATGTGAAAATTGCTCGTCTTTTACATTTTTTCGTACTGCCAGCAAAGCGCAGCGTGCATCTGACTCGTCCGGCACATCTCGGTTTGCACACTGGCTTCTCACGGGTCGGAGGGAGGCGGAGTCCTCCCAAGCAAGCCGCTGTATGCTACTTCAGCTTTAAAACTTCAAATTAATTAAAAGTAAAAACAATTAAATAAAATATTCATACTGGCCACATTTTGAGCGCTCAGTGGCACATGTGGCCGTGGCCGCCATAGTAGATGGTGCTGATCTAGAAGGAAAGCCCTGGGCAGAGTCTAGCCCAGTTCCCCGGGTTCTGCCCCTCTTCATCCTCGCTGCGGCCTCTCCCGCCCAGCTCTCCCGCGCCTGCGCCCTCGGGCAGGAGGTCCTTCCTCCACCTGGGCTCTTCCGAGACTCGGCCCCAGGAAAGGCAAATCTAAGTAGAAACCATCCGTTTACAACACCAACCAGTGCTTCCTCACGAGTGACCGGGCTTTAGCGAGGGTGAAGAGGAAGGAGGCCCACAGCCTGCCGGCCTTGCTGTTCCCGCGCAGATGCTGCCGAGGCCCGGCCGTGAAGGCAGGGGCCAGGGACAGCGGCCTGCGGACAGGGTCAGGCTCGGCGTGGACACCCGCCCCCACCGCACTCTGCGGCTTACACGCCAGGGAGGGGAGAGGCCGCACGTGAGTGCGTCCGGGCTGGAAATGCCGTACGCTTTCCCTCTCTCTAACCACGCCTCTCTCTGGAAGAGCTTTAGCGTCTGTCTAGTGTCCCCAGACGGTCTGCAGAATGCTGCCAGCATTTTACTGAACCACACTGTGCACGGTGTGGTTTCTAGATGGACCCCAAGGTCAAACCCAAGTCCAACCCCTTCAGTAGCTGAGTGACCTCAGGCAAACCACAAAACCCCTCTGAGCCTGTGTGTGCCTCTGTGACATGGAGGCAGTCCCCAGGCCATGGACCCAGGGAAATCAGCAAAGCACCCAGGGATCGTCGGTCTCTTCCCTGCCTCACCTTTTCCCCAAAAGAAACCAAACAAAGCCCAGACGGCTGGGCTTCGGTGAAGTGGAAACGACAGACTTGGCAGCTGCCTTGACCTCGGCTCCTTGGCTGGGGAAGTTGGGACAGAAGAAGAGCGGGCGTGAGAGGGAGGTGAGAGCCGTCGCAATTGCAAGCCCGGAGTTTGAGAAGCCACAGGGCGTGCAAGTGGAGGGGACCAGAGACAGCCGGGCCGCGGAGTGAGGGTCAGGAGGGCCGGGTGGCCTGCGCCAGATTCCTTGTCTCATCCCCAACGGGTGCCCAGATGTAGCTCTGAGTCTCAGGTGGACACATTGGACCTACGGGTAAAGACGAAAGGGGGACCATTAATCTCTAACAAAATCAAAGCCACGAGACCGAAGAGAAATCGGAGCACAGGACCTGAGGATACAGCCTTGGGGACCTTGAAGAGTCGGGGCCTGGCGCAGGAAGGGTCACAAGGCGGCCCCGCATTCCCCAGGCGACCTGGCAACTATGACACTGCACGAGGGGTGTGTGCCCTGGCTGGGGACAGGAACCCAGGCTGGCAGGGGGCCACCCCTCCCTGGGCAGGGCCGAGAAGCTTGCCCCACTCGTCTCCTGAGCTGGCCCTTGTCAGCGTCTTCTTGCCTCGGTTCCCAGGTGCCTGCCGCTTCTGCGCGGCTCCCTGGCTGGTGCTTTTGTCGAACTGGATTCGCCTCCAGATTACAGAAAGGGGCAGCCTTGCCGTTCCGTTCCTTTTCTTAGTAGATAGAAGCCTGTCCCAAGCTGTGGATGCTGGTGGCTTCTGCCACGGGGCTGGCCTTTGGGACGTGAGGAGGGTTTTTGGCCTTCGTCTGCCCTTGGGATCCATCTTCCCCTGGGGCTTGTGCATCTGACACTGTGTGTCAAACTCACTCGGAGATGAATTACTTTTTGTTCTGTCCCTCAGAATCGACTCGCCAGGTTGTGGCCACTGAGGACGTAGAGGTTACTGAACTCGATGGAGCTGAGACTGAAGATTCAGAAACCAGGGAACTGGAGACAAAAGAGACGTTCTTCATTGATGTATGTGGAGTGTTTACCCTTGGAGATGAGTGTCAGTTTTATAGTCGGTAAAACAGGTGATCAGTTACAAACCTTTGAAATCCGCAGGACCCGAAGTGTGGTGCTTGGGCCATCGGGTGGGGAGCGGGTTAGAAATGCAGAACCCCAGGCCCCCCAGACCTGCTGATCAGAATCTGCACTTCGTAAGATCTACCCCGGGAATTCATACATGCGCCATTCAAGTTTGGGACATGCTGGCCCAATGGCTCCCTTTGCACTAAGCCTACCCAACGCTTGATTTGTTTTCACCGAGTAAGTTAGAGTGCAAAGCAATTCTGCCCCGTTCGCCTCACATAAAAGTGCTGAGACAGTTACGTTCTATCATCACAGCCTCTCAGTCCTCTTAGGACACTGCCCAGAAAGCAGCCCATGCTCTCGCTGGCCTGTTGGCTTGTGAAGGTGTGACTGTCCCGTCGGGCCTGTTCAGTGAATGTTTGATGACAGCCTTGCATGTCGCTCCCTGAAGCTCTTCCTGTTTTGATGACAGTCTTAAACGCATGGGCCCACAGGAACGGCACCGTGGGAGCTCACATTTTGTCACAACCCCCCAGGAACTGTACTTTGATGGGGCAAGAGTGGGAGAGGTGTTTCTCAGCACCTTTGACCTCGTGCCTAGTGGGGCAGAGGGTGTCACACTCTTGCCTATTGTGTGTAGCTTTGCCGCTCCTGCCTGCTTCCTTGTTAATAATTTCACCCAACTCAATAAGAGTTAAAGTGATCGCAGTCAATATTCACAGTGGGTTTCTGGTTTTTTGGACCTATGTATAAGAAACACATGTGGGCAATTTATCTCTAACATTGGAGAACTGACTGCATGCAGAACTACAACACTAAGAGCCAATATTTATTGACTTCTTACTGTATGCACGACACTGTCCTAAGCACAAGTTGTATTAACCCTTCTAATAACTCTAACAGGTACGTACTGTTACATCCCAATTTTACAGACGAGGAAATTCAGAAACAGAGAGGTTAAGCAACTTGCCCAAAGCAACACAGCTAGGAAATCGTGGCGTGGGAATAACCACCCAGGCAATGTAGCTCCAGAGTTCACCCGTCTAACCTCCCACTGTCTCCCTCCCCCACACGCCAACCGATTGCTACAGGTAAAGATACCAAAAAAACATAAAACCCCACAATGCAAAACTTAAAAGTCCTACCCGTTTTGGAGGGGTACAAAATACATTACTTGCGTACCACAGAGAGCCCTGGCACAAATTTGTCGAGGTACATTTGATTGGGTCCCCTTGTTTTCTCCAGATGAACTGGCTGTTTCTCTGACAGAGTGAAGAAAAGATGTGGACATTCTTTAAACACCTCACACCTTGCAAAGTCTCACTTTCATTAGATCAGACACCTGGAGTGGCGGTTTGTGTGTGTACGGGGTTCCCTTTGGCGGGGAGTGGATGGAGGAGTCCTTGAGTGATTTGGGTAATTGCTCACTTCTCTTCTAGCTGTGCTTGCATATAACTAGGATTTAATGTACCGTACACGTTGGCATTTATCTTGCCTATGGAACGTCCAGAGTGTGTGTGCCTCTCCGGTGACATACGGCTCATTTGCTCTTTCAGGACCTACCTGACCTGGAAGATGTTGATAGTGGCGAATCTTCGGACGATCGGGATGAGGTTATCAGTACACATTTTTCCCACAATCAACTTAATTCCACTTTCATTCTTGTCACTTACAAAGTATATCTCCCGAACTTGAAAGTAAAATGCTCTTTGTGATTGAAGCATCGCACACCTCCGTATTTTCACCTTGCCGAAGGAGATGTAGCTATTTATTCTTGCTCACTTCTTTAAGGTTTTATTTTTTTAGCGACAGAGTCTCACTCTGTCACCCAAGCTGGAGTGTGGTGGCACAATCATAGCTTACTACAGCCTCGAACTCCTGGGCTCAAGCAATCCTCTTGCCTCAGTCTCCCAAGTAGCTAAGGCCTGCGGCTAATTTTTTAAATCTTTTCCAGAGATGGATCTTGCTTAAATTGCCCAGGCTGGTCTCGAACTCCTCACCTCAAGTGATCCTCCTGCCTTGGCCTGCCAAAGTGCTGGGATTCCAGGCATGAGCCACCATGACACTAAGTTTTTATGATTAACCACTTGGGTTTTCTTGAACACACGTTTTATTGCTGGTGTGTAATAACTGAATACTGTGCATAGTGGCCTGAACCCCTTTTTCTGTGCTTGTGATAAATTTGTATGTCACTCCTGTGAATACCTGGTTGAACACAGCTACACACAGACAGAGGCAAGGAGAGAGGAGTGAGTGTGTGACGCAGCGAGGGGAATTCTCCCAAATGACCGGCCCTCCCCCTCGGCCGTGACTCAGAGCCCATGGGTGTCAGGCGGGTCCCCGAGGGAGCAGAAGCATCAGACACAATCTCTGTGCATGAGCTTTAGTGAAACAAAGCAAGTAGACACCCAGTGGCCGTGGGTGGGCAGATACCCAAGGAGCTAAGTCCTAGAGAGTTTGCGAACAAAGCTGCGGCCAGGGGCGTGCCAGCCAGAGGCGTGCCAGCCAGAGGCCAGGGCTCTGAGGGGACCTCCTTCAGGTACCGGGAGGGTGTCGCTCAGCAGGGCGGGGAAGCGCAGCATGAACACGGCAGAGGGTTGGAAAGCAGTGTAGACATTGGCTGCACAGCTCAGCAGACACAGCTAGCCAATGTGTCCGTCCCAAGGCCTGACTTTCAAATGGCAGAGTCCCGTGTTCCCTCGGGCTTTTGGCAGGTGGCAACAGAATGAATAGTTTGTGATGTTACGTGAAAAAGCAGAATGGGCGGCTCTGTTGTGAAAACAGAAATGTTCAAACACATCTCTTCTTTTAATAGAAAATGTGCTTTCCGAAGATTGAGGCCATCTCAAGCTTGAGTGACAACAGTGACCCTGAACTAGACTACACGTCACTCCCCGTGCTGGAAAACACGTCCACGGACGCCCTTTCAAATATATTCGCTGTCTCTAAAGACACCTCAAAGGCGGCTCAGGCGCCCTTCACAGACATATTTAAAATAGAGGTAAAGAGGGACGTGGAGACTCAAAGACAAGACACCACGTCCCCGAGACCACTGATTCAGGAGCTCGGCGATGAGGACCCCGCAGGCCACGCGCCGACATCCCCTACCTGCGAAGGAGATGCTGCCTCGCTCCCTTCCAGTAGAGACGAGGACCCTGGGCTCCTTGAGGCCTCTGCACCAGGTGAGATCACAGCGGCCGAAGGCTCAGTGTAGACATGCGCCGTTGACTCCCGCCCGGGGGCGAGGCTGGTGGGGATGCCCTGAGGCTGTGCCTGGGCACCCACGTGCCTGGGGAGCACGCGCATCCTCTGTAGACCCGCTCCTGAGTGCACGGCTCTGAGGCCGCCAGCCTGGGCTGAGCCGCCCTTCTCAGGGGCCGAGTCTGGCTTGTGTGGAGACCACCCGGCCCCCGTGGGCGGGCAGATCCAGCAGTTTTGGTCCAGTAGGCCTAGGGGGGCTGAGGGACCTGCATTCCCACCCCTCCTCACCGTCCCTGGCCCTCGGCCTTGCTAGACCACGGTTTGTGGAGGAGGGAGGGGACGCTGACACCCTGGTCGAGGAGTGTGGGACCAGTGAGGGTCTGGGCCAGGTGAGCCCCGCGCACGGCCTGGATGCCTTTGTAGCAGGGGCAGCGTCCAGAGGCCTGGCTGGCAGGACACGGAAAGCCATGCTGAACGTCGGGGGAACCGGGGGGACGTGGTTTGTGGGGGAAGCTGGTCGGTGCGGACTGAGAACAAGCTCGCCGAAGTACTTTCATTCAGCACTGGCCTTCGGACGTTGCCCCGGGGAGGGAGTGCGCAGAGCCGGGACAGCGCCCGCTCTTAGCAACACTAACGGTCGCCAGGCTTTCTCTGAGACAGCTTTGCGGCTGCTGCTAGGCCTGCACGCAGGAAGCAGCCGGAGGGTGGGCTGCACCTCCTGGGAACACTGAATGGCCTTCTTTAACTCTTTAGGAAACAGCACCGAATAGGATGAAGCGCATTTGGAGCCTGGGGAGCCTACGGTGGGGGCGAACCAGGAGGACACCGAGTTCGGATTGGACTGACCCCCAGGCGGCCCCTCTGCCCTTGGATGAGCAGTGACAGGGAGTGGGCCTAGGTCGCCCCTTCGGCCGGCACTCCTTGCGTCCCAAGCCCGGCAGTGACTGGAGACCGCGCTCCGGGGCCTTCACTGGACACCTGCCTGAGCCGCCTGCTCACTTTCTCTCCCACGGCCCCCGAGTCCCCACACGTGTGGGACCACACCGTGGTCCTTGTATTGTCACATGACTTCCCCCAGTTATTTGTAGTATAAGCAGTATAATTATAAACATCTCTTTTTGAGCATGATAAACCTTTTGCCGTCCGTGTGAGTCAGTGTGTTACTGGACTATCTAACATCTGTGAGAGTCGTGCGTGTTTCTTTCCACCAGCTACCCTGCGACCATTTCTCTCTCAATGTGAGTAGAGACCTAGACCAGATCCTGGTCCCTGTAACATTTTCAGGTGGGTGTTTTCCCCAAAGGAAAGCAGAATCCTCCACCAAAGCTAGAGAAAGTCAGAGGAAACGGGACTTTGTGCATGAGACGTCAGCAGGAAGGGGACACAGGAAGGGGACACCATCCAGTCTCAGAAACGCGATCACTGCCACGCATGGTCAGCTGAGAGGTTTACTCAGTCCCTGAACCTGGGTCCACAGTGCGCCCCTCTACAAAACATCGGATCACAGTGGAGACTGACAAACACGAATTAACCCAAAACGACAGCTGCTGACAGCCACCGTGCCTGCCTCCCGAGGCACCGCCAGGGACGAGCAGCGCTCCGGGGCCCCACCCCACCCTCACCAAACACGGGGAGCTCGTCCGGCCACCCCGTCTCACAGGAAGACTGCGCAGCCTGCCTGGAGCCCCCCAGGTAAGGCACAGCAGACCCTGCTCTCTCTCCTGGGGAGAACTGGCCCTGCGGCCACACTGGCTCTCAGACGTGCCCAGGGGTGACCTTGCCAAGGTGCCTTTTGGAATCACCTTCAGACACAGATACAAAATAAAGAAACTATTTTGTTGCTCCATTCCTTTGACTTGGCTCATTATCACTTGGCCTTCAGGGAGAGAAAGCTCTGCCCCACGGAGACTGTTCTAGTTCCTGAGTTCCTGCCACAGAAGGCACAGCTGGTCCGGAGGGCAGACGAGGATCTCTGGGCGTGGGCGGCAGCCTGCCCTGTGCCTTCAGAAGCCCATGCGAGGCTTCTTCCTGTGGGGCTGTGAACCAGAGGGGACAAGTGTGTGCTGCTGGGAGGGGGTGGCCCGGATGCTGGAAGCCGGGGAGGGGATTGTGGCACGATGTCCTGGGGTGTCCCTTTGGCGTGGCAGCTTGGCCACATGGTCCTGGAGATCCTGCTGCTGGGAGGGGGTGGCCCGGATAGGGGGTGTGGCGGTGCATCCCGGGGTGTCCCTTTGGAGGGGCAGCTTGGCCATGTAGTCTTGGAGGGTTTTGCGCCGCTCTGGGGGGATGCCCTGGGCCCACACATCTGCGGTCGGCTCCTGGGAGGGTGGGGTCGCTGGGGGCTGAGGCCTGGCCTTAGCAGATGTCTGCTGTGGGCTGTGAGGCGGGCTGGTGGCATCCAAGGGGTCTAAGCGGCCACTGAGCGAGGAGAAGGTACTGGACAGCTGAGTCCGGCGCTTGGGCCGCTTGGGCCGTTTCCCAGGATCCGAGGTCTTGCCCTGCCGCCGCTCCCACCAGGCAGCCCCTCGGCCTTCCCAGGCTTCCCCCAGACGCTCACTGAGCTCATCCTCCGGGACTGACTCGGGTGCGGGAGGTGGCTCTGCCGTGGGGAGGGGGCCCAGGTCCCTCTGCAGCAGGAGCTGCCCTTTGGCCATGGCCTCCCGCAGAGCCTCTGGCACTTTCCCGCCATCCCTCCGCAGTTCCACGTGGCCCAGCTGCTGGCGGTGGGAGAAGGTGGGTGCGGCCCACACGGGGGGATCCGGGGGCACCTCCAGCAGGACCTTCAGCCACTGGCTGCAGCAGGCAGTGTCCTGAGGGGTCCAAGAGGCTGTGGGGGCAGGGCAGTCAGGCCCGGGGTCACCAGGAGGCCTGGGGTGGCCAGGGGGCCCGGCATCTCTGCAGAGGCTCGAGTCCGCCTGCAGCCAGAGGCACTGGTAGAAGACGTCTCCAGCCGCTGAGAGCTGGAAGAGCACCAGGCCCGGCGTGGAGGCCGAGGACGGGACAGCG